ATCAAGCCCCCCCCCTCAACCCCTCTCCCTGCTAGCCATTCATTCCCATCCCCCACTGTCAAATATACATGTGTGTTTATACATAGTATATGTGCTGTGTGTGCGTGTTTACATTTTATGTTCTTCTCAGCTCTCTTTATAATTACAAACTGTTCTAATAGAGTCCACAACTCATCTTTGTGTATTTTGTAAGAGTTTGCTTGGTAAAGTCGTACGTAAAAGTAAAAAACGCAGCAACTTTGAATGACTTAGAGCATTAATTCATTCAAATTAGTCAAGAGGACATGTGGAAGAAACTTCATACTAATCTCTCTCATGAGAACAACAACTGAACGACTTAGACTCATTGAAGTTGGGAAACTGGTCCTCCAATATTGGGTTAAAGGGGAATGAGTCCCAATGTGAACCTAGTTTCTGCTCCGTTCAACCACAGGAAATAGTCTTCCGGTAAATAAAACACACAGCCTGCAAAGGATTAATCACACCTCAAGGTTAGCTCTTTGTACATCCAAAAGATTGTCTGTAAAAATGTTATAATGATATTCAAGGACTGATCTCAAACTGAACAAAAGGCCTTTCCACTTTAAATCGCATAATGAAAGAGGTGAAACCTTAGATAATATCTGACTTTTGCAATGTATTTGAATAGAAAACAAATACATTCGCAGCAAAATTGCATAATTCACTTGGTATAAAAAATGATTAAATAATAATGATAATGACTCATTTATTGGATAAGTGCAAACAGTACAATTTGCAGTTTTATGGTTTGCTTTGGCAGAATGATGTGGATGTAGACATATTCAAATTGGTAACAGCAGCCTTTACTTGTCCCTCTATCTAATCAGTCTGTATAAAGAGGAACATGTAGTCCACTATATGTGTGTGTGCGTCTGCATGCTGTGCTGACATCACGTCTCCTCTGAGAAAATGCATTTGACCTGAAAAATGACTGAGAGTACACTTATTATTATGGTTATCATATGTCATCTTATTGCGTAGTTATAACGTTGAAGGTTGGCCTGTAAGTTAAAAGATGAGTAAACTTTGACCCTGCGTGTGTTGGTGTGTACATGTTTGTGTGTGTGTCAGGTGATTGTCAGGTGTAAAGGAGCATGTAGACGATACCCTGGTCTTCTCTCAGTTTAGGTTTTCAGTTGCAAAGCCTCTGCGTGCTATGTGACACTTTAGTGCCTCTGGCCACACTACAGTGAAGTGAACCCTTCCCCCCTCGCATGAATGCGCGCACACACACACACACACACACACACACACACACACACACACACACACACACACACACACACACACACACACCCCTAAACAGTATCACCTACCACCACCTGATGGCTAAAGCTACAGGCTTCTCTTTGGTTACTGATTATTTTCAGTATAAGAAGACTTTGTTTTCTGGCCTGTTTATAATTTATCTGCAGACGGGGTGACCTACACACTCAGGCAGGGTGGGAAACTATCAAAGAGCAGTCAAACACTGAATACTTGTTCAAATATGAAGTGTCGTCACTTTAGTAGCTAAACAGACAGCATATGGTCTCCGCTTGTACGCTGAAATAAATTGTGTTTTGGATGCCAATTCTAAGCTTGTTACAACCAAATATCTGTATTACAAAAGTCCAGTTACAGATTTTGAAGTGTGTAAAAACAGGCAGTTTAGTATAATTAACTTTCAGCACCCTGCTGCAAATAAACAATTTCAAATTGAAGTCTTCTAGACAGCTCTGCTGTTTTAATGGGCCTTTTGTAGCAGGAGATTTGGTGATGGGGCGTTAACTGGCTCCCGGCATTACCAGTTGGCCTTGGCCAACTTTGTAGTCGTTTATCTAGTTTCTTTTCAGTTATCTGAATAGCAGAGCTTTAATCCTGGAGGGGCCCTTGCCCCTGTGAACATTCTCTAGACATTAAACCTATATAATAACACCCACACCCACATAGACATGATAAAGTGTGTGTGTTTGCCTGCGTGTTTGCATTGCGACAGGTGAGTAATAATGTACATAAAGGTTATATGTATGGAGCTGAGAGTAAAGAAAATATATAGTGAGGGGTGGCTGTGGTCGAGCCGGTTGAACAGGCTCCTGATTGGCTGCTCCAGGTGTCCAACTTTGATGATGATATATAACAACTATAGCTCTCCCTAATGCAGCTGCTCCATTACCAGCTTCTGTTGAGCTGCAGGTTGACATGTTTTAAAGTCAATGTGTTGTTTGAAGAGTGTACATTTGACAAACCAAGTTTAGAGAGTTTATTTCTTGTTTCTTCTTATTACTCCCGTTTTTTTCAAATTGTTTTCTTACATTCTTTAATTTTAATTTTTAATTTTAGTGTTTCATTCGGATTCGCATTATTATCAGTGACTGTGTTTACATGAGCCACATGTATTGTTGATAATTAAATAATATTAGGATTAAACTGGTTCCTTCCACCTTTACTTCCAGTATTTAACTCCAACAACTTGTCGATTGATGCTACAAGGGTTTACTTTACCTAGCTAATGTTACTACAAAAACGTTACTTCAGCTACAGCTAAGCGCGCATGCGAGCAGATTTATGCGTCATTTAGTAGTTTGATTGCAATTTCTGTGAAATGTAGGAAACAGGCATGATTTGATCAAACTATTAACTACTTAAACTAAGTAAGGTCATTATAAAGTGACATTTAAAAGGCCTGTTTGAAGTATTAAGTGGATAAATTAAATAATATTACAGGTCAATTAAATGTCATGTTAATTATTCAGATGTTCGGTTGTCTTTGGGTTGTGTTGGCTAAAATCATATTGCTTTCCGAAACCTGGACAAAACTAAAAGAAGGTAGAGAGAGAGATGCGTATAACTAGGGAAGGATTGTATCCAGAATACTGTCATCAATCAGGCAGAAGGTAAAAGCCAGATTTAAAGTCACATGTTAATCAATATAAAAACTAAATACCATCTCTTTGTCTGTGTTAACAGCGTATTCTTTATATGGATTAGTTAGAGGAATACTGTGAGGGTGTCAACACAGTTCACACTTCACTTTAGGCTAATAGACCGATCGGGTCTCAGGGAAACAGTAAAAACTATCAACACACTGCCATGTCAACACTGTTACGCTGCAAATGAGCAAACGTTAAATGAATAGTTAAGACTTCAGTAGTCCATTGAGTGTTGTGTATCATCCTCTCACTGATTGCTGGTGTCATACTGGAAAAAGTGCACTTTATTTTGTTATTTCCGAAATGTTTTTCATGCCATGTTACCACATCTGGAGCTTCAGCTTCCTTGTTTCCATGTGACAGCGCTCCCACAATGTCACTAGGGAAACATTTTTTTTGTGTGATCAGGACAGAGGGAGGGGGTGGGGGGTGGTGATACAGAGCAAATAAAGCCACATGGGGGGATGGGAGTTTTAGGNGGGGGGGGTGGTTATTCCAAGATTTATGGAGCGGCACTTCACCAAATGCATGCATCCTGTAATTAAAACTCCCCCTTGCCTCCAGCAGGCATGTACATTACCCAGCATCCCCCACCTCCACCCTTTTCAGTTCCCACCCCTCTGTTCCCCCTTCCCAGCAGAGTAAGATATCAAGGCAGCTCGGTGTCACTAATGAGGGCTAAATGCCACAATGAGGGGCCGTCTTTTAGTGGTAAGAGGCCACTACTGCCAAAAATCCTACATGTCTTCTCCTGGACCAGCCTTTCATTTCCTTTCTCTGGCTGCGTGCTTTAAAGGAAATGTCATCCCCCCCAGAATGATCATTTGTATATGAATTACTCCTTCAAAGTCTTGGAAAATGTTTTTGTTTTTGTCACATGCCTAGTGAATGAAGAATTAAAAAAAGCAGAAAACTTAGTTAATCAAAGTAAAAGGGGTCTTTGTTTAACACCATCAAATGTATTTCATGTATCTTTTATGTCCAGTTGTATGCTCTCTACATCCCAAACACATCATTCATTCAAATATAATATTTTATACTCTTAAAACTCATCAAGGCTTGCCTGCGCCTTGAGCCTTAAGGCCTTAAGGCTTTTAGCACTCTTTGAGTAATTAAAATACCAATTATTATTTTGACATGTGACAGGATAACATTAAAAACACCTGGACATTCCTTTGGTCTTTACGTGTTGGAAAAAAGACTGAAAATGTCGATATCGTCTCCTCTCTGAAAGCCTATGGGGACTTTTTCGAAGTTGCTTGTTTAGTCCGACCACCAGTCCTTAACCAAGAGACATATTTAACATCAAACGCTCACAATATTAAACAACTGGGATAAGAAGAGGTTTGGCCATAATCAATCATGAAAACAGTTGCTGATTAGTTTTCTGTCAAATTGAATTGCTTCAGCTCTAGAATTTGATGGCTGCTTGTCTCAATTACGAGCTGTGACGTGAAGGCTTTCTTGTGATATGAAAGCTCTCCACAACATGAAGCTTAGTTGTGGCTTGGTCTACTTGCTGCGGGCTGTGTAGTAACAATATGCTGCTTGTGTTTCACAACCTTTAAATAACAGATTATGAAATGTTTCCTACAGATACTGTGTGATTTATAGTTGCATAACTGGGGAATATTTTACTATCATACTGACAAACTGGACTGGAAAAACAACTACTGGTTTCAATGGCTGCTCTGTACTCCCGCGAGTTGGCGCCCCACTTTTACTGCTAACTTTCACCTAACTTTTCCAGAGCCAAAGGCAGCTGGATCCACATCAGGTTCTCATCAAATGAGACTGCTCCACATTTCTTTAAATTTCTCCCCCTGTCATCTCCTCTTATGATCAGAGGGAGACTGACTGGTTTCTCAGGACAAACCTTTACGAGTGAATGTCGTCATTTCAAAGTTTGATAGCTATCGATTTATCATTATTATGTTTTCATGATGCTTATGTAACAAGAGAGCATCCTGGTCGTCTTCTTCCTTGCTGTGTCAGATCCTAGATGGTGGTTTTGACATAAATTCAAAAGCTGTTGTCTCACTGGTCTCTTCTCCTCCTCTTCTACAGCTGTATGAACTGGATAGAGACCCGAAGAGAAAAGAGTTTCTGGACGACCTTTTCAGCTTCATGCAAAAACGAGGTATGTTACTGTGTTCGTTCAGTGTCTTATCGTACCATGTTATAGGTCATATCTCCAGCCAGAGTCTCACATACATTTTTTCTGTAAACAATGTAAATCGTTTCCATTATAATTACAAATGACAAGAACAAGCTATTTTCTTCTTCTTTCCTCCTTCACCCAAAGGGACAAAATGTGAGATAATTTCGACGGGCAAGCAAAAAAGAAAAAACAAATCATCAATAAAATACAAATACAAACAAAAAAAATAAAACATAATACCCTCCAACTATTACATTGCTATTCAATGGTTTCTATATTCTAAGGAATGTAATAAAAAAGGGTTTCTTCAAACACATTTCTTCTATCTTCTATAATAGCATACATGAGGCCATGTTGCTAAGCTATTATTAACTTACATGCTGTTTTCTACCAATATAGAGCACTATATACTGCCTTGCAAGATACTTGGTAAGGTTTAAATTCGTTCTTCATGTTTTTAGTTTGGATTTCAAATCTAAATCTTATGTTGGTCAGGGTCCTCTTCAGAGGTGATTCTGTCCATCCCATGTTCTATTTCTATCCAGAACTCCATTGCGTACAGAGATGCTTAATAGTTGAATATGAGGGAGGGATGACCCCCCTCCACTCCTCTCTCTGACATACGACACAAACACGTCTTATCATCTTTCACTCACATGGGTGGGGTCTTTATTCGTTTCGGAGATGATTGCTTTATGGTTAGGCAGCCCCTCGTTCCTTCCCAGGCTATAACTAGAAGGAACACATCGTATCGATGCCTGGGAACAGATTGGTTTACCTTCGTCTCCTGCTGCTCATCCGCCAGCCCTGCACACACAAACACACTCTCACTCACACACACTGACTCACCAACCATGCAGGATGTTCACGATGGCGACACAACCAACATAAAAGCTCATTTCCAATTGTGCAATATTTTATTTGCATGTCATGGCCAATGACTCATTTCAGGTGTTCCTTCGCCCATAATACTTAGGCGGTCTGATTTACATGACAATTGATTTATGGCTGATATAATCAGATCAGCGGGGCGACGACTGACATGAGAGACGTGAGACAGAGACACGTGCTCGCAACTGAAAAAAACAGTACTACATGTTTAAACTTTACAGTGTCAGAGCCAGCAGCAATGGATCTGCCAAGCATGATCTGAGAATATGAGAGCGCCATCTGCAGGTCGTACCTATAACTGAGGCATCACTCTTTAGTATGAACATCTAGGGTCGATCATATTTTGGGTCGAAGTGGACCTGAAGATTGTGTTCAGGGTCACTCTGTGTTTAAATGAATATCATTTGGTGGAAAGATTAATGAAGGCTTTGATCTTCCTAAGTAAAGGACATTTGTCACAGATTAATCCGAAACTGGAGATACTGATTGTCCCAAGGCAATTTGTCTCATACTTGGTTTGTCATTCACATCCTTTAGGAGATAAGATTGTCAGGTTTGCAAATGTCCCCAAGACAAATCCTGTTTTATATTTTTGATGAAACAGTAAATATTTAAACTGTTCTGTCTACTGAAAAAGGATGTATCGAAAGATCCATCGAAATGAAGGGCCATAACTTTTCCAGTACACCCTACTTTATTCCACAAAAACGTTTGGATATCTCGCCCTCTGGTGTCTAAGTATGTTTCCTGTATCTTATTATAATCCATTTGTCCATCAGATGACTGCCTTTTGATACATTTGTTGACCTGTACTTCAGTCTGCTCCTTGCTATGTGTGTGTTGGCCAGTTAAGAAAATCCGATCAAAAGATCCTCCTGCCTTTTTGTTCGTATATGAAAAATAGTAAAAGCTCTTTTCAAGCATGTCAATTTCCAACTATTCCTAACAAAGGTCACTGTGTGTTTTTGTGTTATTACAGGAACGCCAGTGAATCGTATTCCCATCATGGCCAAGCAGGTCCTGGATCTGTACATGCTCTACAGGCTGGTGACAGAGAAGGGCGGCCTGGTGGAGGTCATCAACAAGAAACTGTGGAGAGAGATCACTAAAGGACTCAACCTGCCTACCTCAATCACCAGTGCAGCCTTCACCCTACGCACACAGTCAGTACAAACACACACGCACACACACCCACACACACACACACACACACACACACACACACACACACACACACACACACACACACACACACACACACACACACACACACACACCCCTCTGGTTGTTTTAATTGGATTTGTGTTATTTGTGTGTTTGGTATATTTGGGATCCACACAGGCAGTGACAAGCCCATAAAGGCCTATTAACAAAGTGAACAATAGAGTGCCACAGGTGACGCGTCCTTGACACACATTTAAGAGACGGATCACGTTTTGTTCAGTCGGATAATACCCACATGTCTACCCTACTTTTATAATTTTCGATTAGAAAATTATAAAAGTAGGGTAGACATGTGGGCATTATCCCAAAACGTGATCCGTCTCTTTAATGTGTGTCAACCACAGACCTTATTTCGAGCTATTTTCCAAAATCCTATGGAGAAATTGCATAGCTTTTTTGTCGAAGGAACCCATGCTCAGCTTACTTCCGGGTTTGAGGACGCGTCACTGTGGCACTCTATTTATTTTTAACAAAATGCTTTCGTCCATTCCTATAACCAGTTTTCTACTGCTCAGCGATTTCAACACTCTCTGTAGTTGGTCCATATTGCAATGTACTTCGTTACATTTTGGAAACTTATGAGAAAAAAATAGTTGATATGAAAGAAAGTTAGCCCACCCAAAATAGTTAAATGTTAAAGCTTTATACTGTATGTATGTTATAGGAACTAATTGAATTTTCAGCAGTAGGTTAAAGCTTGGCGCATCCCTGAATTAACTGGCTTTTAGTGAAACATAAATACATTGTACTCCTTTCAGATACATGAAGTACCTGTACCCATATGAATGTGACAAGAGGAGTCTGAGCAACCCCAACGAGCTCCAGGCAGCCATCGACAGTAATCGGCGGGAGGGCCGGCGGCAGAGCTTTGGCAGCTCCCTCTTCACATACTCGCCCAACGGGACCCCTACCATGCTCTCCTCGCCCAAACTCCCATCAGCCAGCGTTGGCCTGACGATGGGCACCAACGGAGCCTCGCTGATCCATAACCACAAGATCAAGAAAGGTGAGATTCCTTTAGAAACTCACATGATGTGTGATGTTTAAGGACTTTGGAAGGATGAAAGATAATATTTTGAGTGGTAAGACTCAATTACTCTATTTTGTATGACTGGGGATAGTTCTTTTTTAAGTTAGGAAAACTAAGTATTCCTCATCCTTACCATTTAACAGGAATGGACTTACTGTCCTCTCTTCTGTAAGACATCTTAAACACTAACATACTATCTCAGATAGGCTGTTTTTATGGTTTATATCTTGCCTGGATAACACATGTTTTTTGCTTTTTCAATCAAAATAATCCTTCTCCCTTCACTGTGGTGTCTGGCTAGAAGAGGACGTAGGCCACTCACTGATGGGGCTCAGTATGGCTCGTCTGACAGCGGGGGCGCTGCAGGGGAACACGATGGGGGCGATGCAGGCGGCAGCCGCTCAGGCGACAATGGCCGCTCAGATGGCGGCTCTGGAGCAGCTCAGGGACAAACTGGAGGCCGGAGAGCCACCAGAGAAGAAGATGGCGCTGCCGGCAGAGGAACACCAACGACTGCTGCAGAGAGCGCTGCAACACAACCTGCTGGCCATGACCGCTCAGTTACCCATGAACATCCGCATCAACAACCAAGGTACTGACTGAGGTGGAGCTTCTGATACATTCAGTCAAACTAATCATACAGTCAGATGTGGTTTTTCATATTACATGAGGAAGCCTGTGGCTCACTGGTGAAATTCTTCCACTTTCTAATCATATAAAGATAAAAGACAAAAGTTGAACTAGCCTTCCTAAATCTGCTTTAGCCATAAGAATAGATGGTTGACTACACTTGATTCAATATGCAATAAAATCAAAGTACTTCTATTTTTGCACTTCTCGCTACTTTTACGTTAAGTCATGAATTGAGACCAGTTTGAGAACAATATCATTATTGTATTAATTGAATCTAATGAATCAACTAGTAATTCAGTACTTTTACTTCTACTTGAGTGAATCCACCACAGCTTAAATAAATAAAATGGTAATTTCTTGATAGCTGATAAAAGTAGAACTCATCTTTGGTCTGACATCATAATAAAATTGTAGCTCTGTTGTATTAAAAAAGGGTTAATGCTTTGCCATCTTTTTCCGTCAGACTGAACGTTTGCAGCAGATACGTACAGGGGGTATTGGTTCAACAGACATCAATATATACAATTAAACACATAAGAATACAATGTTATCCCCTGGTGATTAATGACATTGCTTCAGGGCAACATTTGCATGGATAAAGGAAGGAAATCCATACTCACGTATTAAGAATTAACATAATCAATCGTCACAAAGTATGATCTTCCAGACAGATCTACCTCAGAACAACATTTTAAAAGAATCCACAATAATGGAAGAAGGTGCATATCAATAATACCACATCTGCTGTGGATTTTACATTTAATTGTTTTTCCTTAGAATTTACACAAGCTGGATTCTACACCCTCTCCTTCTTCCTGGCAGTTAGTTTCTCAAGCCATTGTTGTCATCTCACCACACACCACAGCAGCCGACAGGGAGGAAGTAACCCACAGCAGGCCTATATGTTGACCTGTTTAGCTTATAGGAGCAGTATGCATACATACAATGCATGGGTGTGTGTGACTGAGCGGGAATTCCCTTCTGCCAGCTTACACTTTGATCTTATAGCCGAGTGTCCTTGGTTACTGTCTATCTGATTGAGCATGCAAACAGTTTCTCAGTACTGATAATACAGGTGACTTCAGAGGAATTTTAAGGTTTTGCAAGTTCACACACAAAGTTCCAACTTTGAATACCCAGATGTAAAAAATATAGCACACATAGATCTTGAAGATAAAGTTCACTTAATTAAATAGCAACAATTTATGTTGGCTATGTCAAACAAACATGTGGATGTCAATGCCTGTTGGCGCTGTTGGTTTTGGAAAGTTGAGGGAAGTCAACTCTGGACTGCTTCTACAAGAACATTTAATGGCCAAAATATTGCCTAGAATTTTCATTCAGGATTTGTTGTAATGGACGTACAAATTCCCAGTTTTAATAGAAATACATTTTAATCAAAGTTCCTATAAGGGGGAGGCCAGGTTGGACAGATAGGTAAACATATGTCAAACAGTAGGCCAATGAAGATACAAACTTGAAGAAAACAGAATCATATGAGTACATCAGGTTTCATAGCCAAAACATTTCAAGTGCTACTCAAGTTATTATGTAAAACAACAGTGATTGTAAGAAACTTATTTTGAAGTACAAACTTCAGCTAGGATACGTCACAAACATACCTACTTTAACCAGAATTATGATATTTTCTTTGTTTAACATATTGTAATTTTAACACATCTTGTGCCACCATCATGTTGACCATCAATTGTTTTGTTTGTTTGTCTCCCTCACAGAGAGCAGGCAGAACTCGGCCCTGAACCTCACCACCAACGGCACAGGCAGCATCAGCATGTCAGTGGAGCTCAACGGCGTGATGTACACCGGTGAGTAACACTGTCATGTGGCACAGGGCTCCCTGCTTATCACTAAATAGTCAATATAAACTATAATTTGATATACCATCAGAAAATAGGGCTGTACCAAGGAGTGCAAGCTTCATTCATAAGGTTGACTTTATGTCTGACTAAAAAAGACAGAAATAAATTAAATGTATATTCCAATATAACAAATCTCTCTTTAAATGTGTTGTCATGGGTTGTTAAAGATTAATAAGACCTTAATATAGATGAACATTACAGCCCTTTCAGGGACATTCATTGAGTTGATCAGTATTTGTTCAGATAAAGACTGGAAACTGGAAGAACGTGTTTCTTTTTAGCCTTGTACAAAAAACAGATCACAAAGGGGAAGTGATCTGTTGTAAATATTTCTTGTTGTCACTGTATGATTGTCAGGTTTGGTAAAAGCAATGGCGTCATTTCAACTTTATGAAATTCTCTGGGTTTCCCAGTCTTTTGTTTAATTTCATGTCGAGTTTCGTTGCTGAAATATATTCTGTATTTTGAACCGTATTTTCTTTTAATCTTTTCTTTGCAGGCGTTCTTTTTGCTCAGGCAGCAGCAGGGGCAGCTATGTCCGGTGCAGTCGGATCGTCAGTCTCAAACAAGACGGTCAGCAGTCGTGTTGCTCCAGCGCAGCACCAGAACACACCTACCTCAACCTCAAGCAACCCGTTGTCTTAACAAACCCCAGCCTTCTTTTTTTTTTTTATTACCACGCTAAGTAAAGCCAAAAATCAACCTCATTTTCTACATAATCTATGCCAAAAAGAGAAGAACCATAAACTGTACAGAGAGACTCAAACTGAAACTCAGATCACTTGAATTACACTATCTCAGGTTTTCTCTCATCAACTCACCTCTTTTGTTCTTCATAGCCAAAATTATTTCGGGGAAAAAACAAAGAATATCTCAACTGAGAGCCAGTATATGCTAAACAAATATGTATGCACAATCTGTGAATTATTTATTTCTGCATAAATGTACAGATTATTGGAGAACAAAAGAGAAGGTAATAACCAGGAAGGGTAATGCACTGTTTACACACAAACACAGCTACTGATTGACAGCAATGTTTTATCCTCTAGGAGTAGATTATTTTATTTTATTTTAACTTTTTGTTGTTATTGTTATTCTCTTTACTGTGTTTTATCATTTAATTTTAAATCTTTAACAATCCTCTCACTGCAGGAAAAAATATATTTAGAATTATATAAAAAAAAAGATCATATGAATATTCTCTATTTTTAATCAGAAAAGCTTTTAAGGTATATGTTTTCTTCAGGGCATATAACAATGTACCACTGTGACCTCATTTTGTGTAAAACCTTTTTCGCAAGGCAGCCATTTTGGATCTCTATTAGGGAGATTGCGGTCACTCCTGTAGTGTACCAAGATACACATCATATTAGTGCAAAGATTCTCCAGTGAAACAAAAATGTAAAACGCATCTCAAGAGTGGTTACAATGCTACATAGCTAATGAATGCTCTGAAGCTGTCATGCTTCTCCCGTTACAGCTGGATAATGTTTTTTATCTAAAACCTGCTTGTTGACATAAGGCCAGTTTAATGTATACTGTATCTGTGCCAATCTTGCAGGTATTTTTTGAGTTAGCTTTGAGTTCAAAATGGCTGTTTTGTAAGAGTAAGGTCAGTTCTGCAGGCGGGGATATGAACTCTTAGCCTTTCTTTTACCCTCGCCGCAGCTAACACGCTGGACTTTCGGAGCCTCAGTAGCGTCCACACAGACTGTTGCTGTTTGGGGTTCAGATTGTATGTGAATAATAACTATTTTCGACTGCTCTCAGGTGTCTGATGCTCATCGTTTTGTACAATATCTTGACAAAGCCAGAGCAATGCTTTTCAACATCTTTCTCTGCAGAAAGATCGATTTTCATCTTCTTGTTTTTCTTACTTGGCCTTCTAGTGGAGTGATTGTCTTAAGGTCATATGCATGCCTGTATTTGTAGATGAAGCCTTTCAGCGATCAGGAATGAGGCAGGAGAACTGTGGTTTTGTGCTTTTAAATCAGAGGAGTCGTGTATCCACTAAATCCCTATCATTGTGGAGACACTTACATGGACAATCAGGTGTTATTTTAGCTTAAATCTGATTTGTTGTTGTTGTTGTTGTTGTATTATAGTTAACAGATGCTTTTATTTTTATTTCAGCTTTGTGTTTTGCATGACTTAGTGCTTCTTCTGATCCAAGTGCTTCTAATCCTGTGCTGCGACAAAAACCAGGTCTCCTTGAGACTGGCTGTCAAGGATATTACAGAGAATGTCTTGTGATCCTTTGACTGTTTTTAGATGTTGTTTAATTAGGGCTTTGACAATGTGATCTCAGAGGTAATTGTAGCTGCAGCTGAGCACCCGCTTGTGTCTTAGTGTTTCTATCAACACTTGCTGCAGTGAGATTTGTAAAAAGTTAAATCCGCCACAGTGAAGATACCATAACATTCACGTACAGTTGTGTTTCTGCCATTTAAAGTAGATCAATCATTCAGCTTTTAGAATTTTAACCTGTGCTACCTCTCTGGACTGTTAAAGATTGTTACTCTACCCCCACCAAAAGCAGCCTCATTCCTACTGACGTTAGGAAGTAAATCAGGCTTTGTATGTGGGTTCTGTTCTGAGGCCTTAACACAGCATGAGAGGACCAGAGAGTCAGCAGTACCTCCATCCAATCACTTTTGACTGTTCCAGTCAAATATCACCAGATGGCTGTCGCGGCTTTGATTTTGGACGCGCCCCTCAATGGGAAATCACCACCAGCTGCTACACAAACACAGACTAGTTTTGAAAAGTACTCTCCATTCTCTGACAGCCAACAACTCTCTTTCAGAGTCACATACAATAATTAAATGTTGTCTTTAAGATGGTAAAATAGTGAGGATTGTCCTAGTTTTGTTACCTTCTAGAAAAGACAAGTGAAGGTTTAGTTTGATTTACAACTTTTGTCAAAGGTAGAGCTGGAAGCAGAGACAGGATTTCATTGGTTGATCTCAACGAAGTGGAAAACCACAGACTTTGTTTACAAGCCTTTTTGCCTTTATTCCAAAAAAAACAACTAACTGTTGACATGACCGATGATAATGAATATTCCACTTTTACTCCCGTCAATATTTTTGAAATGTAAGCTTTCTTTTGAGCATGCCTCTCTTTTTCAGTTTGTATTCAATGATCTTAAGCTGGCAAAATACCATGTGTTGCAAACTGCAGAAGATCCCAAATTGGGACGCATATTCTACATTTGCTGTATGCTTATCTAAAGGATGCTAAAAGGCAGAATAATAGCACAGTCAAACATGTCTAAATCGGAAATTGCTACATCGGGGCTTAGTGACGAAAAGAGTATTACGGGTCAATAGTGTCACCACCTACAGGAAGAAAGTGCTCCTGCTGCATAGTTTCCGTTTAGCTTGTTAGTGTTTTTGAGGTTTACATTTGTGCATAATGGCATCTCAGCTCCCCCAGCCAAGGCCTTGCAACACACACAATCACGCACACACACTACACAGGACTGAGGCAGAGGACGCTGGGGTCATCACACTATAAACAGACGTTTGAATAACATTGGAGAATTATGCGCCTCACTAACCTTTAATGGCTATTTAATAATCTTGTGTCCGCATGTGGCTGTTTGGCATTAACTGTTAGCTGTTAATCATAAATAAAAAATAAGAAAAGTATAGTTTGACTACTCAATAGCAAAAACTTTGTATTTCAAGTGTGATGAGAAAGCTTGTTTGAAATGCAAAAACCTCAAACACTCAAAAACGCAAATATAAAAAGGAAGACTTGCGATAGCAGTTGTTAACCCCCCCCCC